AGTTTCTTATATAGGTAGCCCAATTTGGATGGTCTGATTGGAAACAGTGAACGAAAAATAAAGAAGCGGAGTTTTGTTGGTTTGCACTTCATTACTCAATCAATGCCACTCAGGTGCTTGGTTTGCTCAAACCCGGAAGTGGGTGCATGTGGGAAGCTCTCAAAATGTAGTTCCCTTCTCTTAGCACTTAAGGGAGAATAGGTGTTGCATTCTCAACTCAATTTATTCAAACATAGTCTGAGAAAAGGAAAGAACAGGGTGGATGATTCTCTAGTGTGTACACAAAGGTCACTTCCCTTTACTGCAATAACGCAAATTTCTGGCTGTAAAAAAGGTTTAATCATATGGTCTCGCAAAGTTCCCGTCAAGCTTTCTTTCGTCAGTCCTCTTCTGTCACAAATCGGACTTGGGATTTACGTAGATTGGGTGGAGGGGGTTTTGCTGGGCGTTTTTTTGCCTAAAGAAGAACGTGGGAAGTTAACCTATTTTCGTCAACTTTTAACGATTATTCCAGGAAAATTTCACCACCTTTCTGGTAAGACTGAAGCGGCGGTAATTCTTCACTGGACGGGCGTCCTTGTATGTACTCTTGACTCCCCCACTCTTGGAATTCTCAATGGCCCGCCTTTTTCTTTGGCTCTTGACATCGTTTTTCTTGGTCACCGATGACGACTTTAGAATAGGTACAAGCCTAGAAGTCCCACCTGTCTCGTCATCGACTTCGACAGCTGCCGAGGCCTCTTTATTGTGACGCTTTTGACTTCGGTGCAGAGAAGATCGCTTCAAAGTGGAACTTAGCGGTGGAAAGTTGTACTTCAAGAACCGATTTCCTTTACCCTCTATCTAAAGGTACGGCAATTGAGTAAAATTGTTGCTACTGATTTGAATGAGAGTAAAGTTTATTTCTCTTACGATTTCACCGGTCGCATCCGAACCAGGTGGTTCATACAGTGCAGGTGGTGGCAGCTGCGAAGAAACAAAATCTGAAACAGTTTGTAGGCGACTGTGACCTTTTGTAACGCTCTGACTATTTCGCGTCCGAGCAGCGGACGAGCCTGACCCTGTGGTAAGGTGATAACGTCGACGGGGTGCATAGATAACCGGTTTTGCTGGAAATCTGCTGTCCAGTAGTTTGTACAGGTGGTTGAGCTAAAATAAATAGAGGAAGAAGGGGTGTTTCACATCACTATAATAAATCAACAAGAAGAGTTACTCACTTGTCTAAGCATAGTGTTTAGAATGAGATCGACTCCTGGAGTTCCGTCCATTTGACAGCTAGCAGTCAAACCAACAGTTAGATGGCTCCCGTAGACGCATGTTACTACCGCCAAATCACGGCACATAACAGCTTTGCTATCGTCGCTTCCAGCAGTGGCAACATCAGATGAAGAAGCAGATGGGTTAGACGATTTTTCAAAGTCTGACGCTAAGTTGTGATTCGCCAGCCAAGTTTCAATTCGTACGATTGGCACACCACCTGAGAGGTAGAGGAGGTCAAGGTTGCGCTCATTTGATGGACTTCCATCACTGACAGTGGATGGTTGAGGTGAATTCGGACGATTTACCAGTCTCAGGGCTTGAGATATATCCATTTTAAGGAAATTTTGACCGGATAGCCAACTTCGACGTGACTGGAACCATCTGTTCGGCCGCTTTCTGCCACCTGAAAAATTTTAAGAGTTAAACTGTGGTTCTGCGATTTTTCGAATCGGTTAGTAATGCTTTGTACGTTGGAAAAACTAAGATGCACTACCGTTTCTCATGTAAATGTGTAGGTACAGTTTCTTGTGCACATCTGCTTAAGCAATTATTAAAATTCCAAGTGTTTGCGGCAATGAGTGGGAAAACCAGGTAGATCCATCTACAAAGGAAGGCAGTAAACTAGATAAGAGCTTCGCTTAAATCAAGAATGGCTTGCATGCCTTACACACCTTTGAAGCTGCAAGAATATCCAAACAACTTGTCCTGCTGAAATACACTTTGGTTGTGCTACCGCAATTGGCATTACCTGGGTCGGTGGATGACAGGTGTATCCCATTTCCACTCGCAATGGGCCAGTTCTATTAATAACTGTGGCCCAGCCCAGTCCAGACATACTTAATCAGGATGGTACCCAACAATGGTGGCGCGTGTGTGAAACAGCGTGTAGTGACAAATGGCATTCATTGGGAATGAAGTCACAAGACTTGAACCTCAGGTAAAGTGATGGGTGGATTAGTTGTAGTAAAATATTAGGCTAGTGTAAAGCACTATCCAGATCATATAATTTCTCTCAGACTACGAAGCCCGGTCTATTGGTATACAAGATGTCGATAAATCACTTAAGACACAATTCTTTGTAAATGGGTACAGTTAAGTTTGAAAGACTGTGGCAGAATGACTCATTTCTGTCGAAGAAATATGCACAAATAAACGCGGGAAGATTTGACGACACAATGTACCTACCATATTTTGATCGTTTTCCTAGCGTCGAAGAAGTGGACGCTTCCATACCACTAGTACTCTCCAATGAAACCTCAGCGAATGTGACACTGCATTTGGAGGCGCCGCCTAACAATAGGCTATCTGCACGCAGAGCTAATCCATGAGGAAGTAAAAGATGAAGTAAGTCGCGTGTCCACGCCATAGTCACAGCCAAGGCGGTTCGCTGAAGAGTCAGCATATGCTGATGTACTCGCCAGAGACGTGGAATCATGCCTTCCTCACTCAGAGGCAGTCGCATCGGTGTGAAGATACAATGAGCTGGTGGACCGTTGGCAATTTCATTGAGTGCTGTCACCGCCTCATGATGATCGGATTCGTGGCCAGTGACTTCACCTCCAATGAAATCTCGACGACTGTTTAGTTGAAGAAGTCGTTCGCAGCACAATTCAAAGTTAAGCGATGGC